TGTGAAGCTCATTTTTTACATAAGAATCTTTCCCTAAGCATAGCTATTACCAGCTTATTTATTAACACAAACATGATTCAATTAATACAAACACTTTTGGTTCTCCACATCACTTGTGATACCTAGTTTTCACAAACCTGTCTTGTCTCCCTTATGAAACTGGAAGGTCTTGCTTCTACATGAAACACTGTATACTTGAGAGGATCAAGTCTATTCACTATCCCCTAGATACGCCATGCATATTCCTATCTGTATGTTTGCTCCTGTGGGCTTTCTCATCTGAAATTATCTTCCTTTTTTCTCTAAGTCTCAAGCCTTAATCAGGGCCCACTTTCACCATAAAGCTTCTTGTGATTACTTTAAGCCACTTATGTAAATATTTTTATTTAGAGTATACCCTGTGGGTCTACTTCAAAGACATAAATATATCAATAAATCATCAATTTTTTGTACTAATATGTAAAAAAAAAAATTATTTTAGAATACCTAACTTTTAAAAAATAGAAGATGAGACAAACTACATTTTTCTTGAGTTAAAATTATAGTCTATTCATATTGAAACATATTGTTAATATATCAAGAGTTATTATATATAACAGCTAGTGTTTATTGACAGAGTTCTGGTGGTAGAGCTAAGGAATTTGGCTGCTAACCCAAAGGTTGGTGGCTCAAATGCACCAGCCACTCCATGGAAGAAGCAGTCTGCTTCTGTAAAGATTTACAGCCTTGGAAACCCAATGGGGTCACTAAAAATCAGAATCAACTCAATGGCAGTGAGTTTGGTTTTTTGTGGGGTTTTTTTTTTTGAGTGTTTATTGATCACTAATTACTTTGCTAAATGTCATTCTCATAAAACACTTCAAGGTAGAACTATATTTTCATATCAAAGGCAAGGGAACTGAGGCGCAGGAGTTATTTGACCAACAGGATTATTTGTCAGAAGAGGATTCAAACTCTAATTTATCTAGTTTCAAAGTCTGTGTTCACTGTATGACACCCCACTCTGTCCTAGAAGGATAGACCATCCTAAATGATATAAGTAGACAGCCATGATATAGAATCTCTCGTAACTAACACCTACAACTGGTATGTGACTATCAGATTCCAAATTGTTAACTTAAGGATCTCAGTTTTTAAATTTGGTAACAATTTTAGCCATATAAACATGTTCAGGCTTTATAGAATAAGTCATCATTTATTTTGGATGCAAATAACTTAAGATCAAAGACAAGAGGGAAAAACCAACACATGACATGTAAGATCATATTCACTGAAAAAAGACCAGTTATGAAACCTATGGGAAGAGAATATGGTGGCCACATATACCAAGGTATCATAGGAGAAGAGGCCTTCTTGCTACCTTTTTCCAACTATTGTTCTTAGCTAAGAGTTTCCAGCAGCACAGACAGCGTACCTCTGTATTCCCCCATGTATGTCTGCTGGCTACTTTGCCATTGGGCTTGATCAAAACAGCTGCCACTTCTTTCTCCCTGACCTATAAAGCAGGTAATACACAAAGACTTGGCATGCCATTTCTGAAAGATTTCTAATCTCTCTGTGACTACAATATGAAACATCCTCTAGGTATTCAAATGAATTAAACAATTAAATAATTCCTACTGCAGAGACAGTCAATGCTTACTAATGAAATGTTGTAAAATTTATCCAAGAGAAGAACCAAGGAATTTTTACTGTGCCCAAAGAGAAATTTAAAGCCTTCCACTTCTGTCAAGGCCCTAGAATAAGTCAGAGTAAATACTCATCCAAGAGAAAAATACTCATCAAAGGATTGTTACTATGACAAAATCTTCCACTTTTGTTGAATTATTAGAGTAACTAAGAGTAAATACAGAGTAAATAGAGCACTATCACCAAATGGTACTTATTAACCATTCTACATATACTAGACGATAGCAATCCTCTTTATGTGCTGCAGTGATGAATACGAGATACAGGAATTGTACATAAAGTAATTTTTCATTTATCTCATGATGAAAGATTTTTAAGAAACAGTGGAATCTTTCAAAGGGAGGAAAAGATGACCAAAAAAGAGCCTATAAAAAGTTTTGCCTTTGAGATGAAAAGACTATGATGGGTAAGAGGCTAGGATGGGTAAGAATATATGAAGTCCACGGTGCATATATATCCACATACATAACAAATCACATAGGGGACACTGTTATAGAGGCTTCCCAGACATATGGAAACAACTTGCAGGATTGTTTACTGGGTCAAAAGGCCTGAGAACATAGTCTCAGGGAAAACTTAGTCAATTGGCACGATATAGTTCACAAAAGTAAACGCTAGTTTGGTGAGTAGTGTCTGGGGTCTTAAAAGCTTGTGAACGGCCACCTAAGATACAGCTATTGGTCTCTACTAAGATGAAACAAAAGGGAACGAAGGAGATGAAAGGTTCAGAAAGAAACTAGCCCGTGGGACTAAAGCCAAATGAACCACAACCTCTTCTAACCTGAGACCCAAAGAACTAGATGGTGCCTGGCTACCACTACTGACCATTCTGACCAGTGACACAATAAAAAGTCCTGAACAGAATGGGAGAAGAATGTACAACAAAACTCAAATTCCTAAAAAAGGCCAGACCTTCTGGACCAACAGAGACTAGAGGAAGCCCCAAGACTATCACCTTAAGAAAGCCTTTGACCTATGAATTGAAGCTATTTCTTCAGGTCACCTTTTAGGCAAACTAAAGACTGTTTGATAAAATTAACAATATCACCCATAAGTAATGTGCTTACTTAAACAATCAACTGTGAGACCAGATAGTCAACATTTACCCAAGAACAAAGATGAAAAGGCAAGGAGGGACAGGGAAGCCGGATCAACGGAAAAAGAACAAACAATTAAAATAATGAGAATACCAATACATTGTATCCAATGGTACACAAAAATCTGTATAAAATTACTGAAAGAGAATCTAATTTACTGTGTATGTTTCACCTAAAATAGAGTATGCTAAAAAAAAAAAAAAAAAAAAAGACAAGCTAAAAGAGCTAAACAGAAGATTTTGAAGAGCAGCTCAAAAACACAGAGTCAATTATTATAATGAAATGTGCCAAGACCTGGAGTTAGAAAACCAGAAGCAAAGAACATGCTCAGAATTTCTCAAGCTGAAAGAACTGAAGAAAAAAATTAAGCTTCAAGTTGCAATATTGAAAGATTCTATGGCATTATACTGAAAGATTCAGGAAGTATCAAAAGAAGATGGAAGGAATACACAGAATCACTGTACCAAAAAGAACGGGTCAATCTTCATACATTTCAGGAGGTGACATGTGATCAAGAATCAATGGCATTGAAAGAAGAAGTCAAAGCTACACTGAATTGGCAAAGAACGAGGCTCCAGAAACTGATGAAAAATCCATTGAGATGTTTCAAGAAATGGATGTCTGACTTGAGGCACTCACTCAGTTATGCCAAGAGAATTGGAAGAAGCTACCTAGCCAAGCGAATGGAAGAGATCCATATTTGAACCCATTCCAAAGGAAGGTGATCCCACAGAATGTGGAAATTATCAAACTATATCATTAATATCACATGGAAGTAAGATCTTACTGAAGATAATTCAAAAATGGTTGCAGCAGTATATTAACAGAGAACTTCCAGAAGTGCAGACTAGATTCAGAAGAGGATGTGGAACAAGGGATATAATTGCTGATGTCAGATGGATCTTGGCTCAAAGCAAAGAATACTAGAAAGCTGTTTACTTGTGTTTTATTGACTATGCAAAAGCATTTGATTATGTGGACCATAACAAATTGTGGATAACATTGAG